CACGCCAATGAGCCAACGATCGGGGCCAGGGGACTTTCTCAGGGACTCCCGTGTGACAGAGGAGCTGAATGAATAAGCCGCGGGGAGCCCATTCTTCACGTCGCTATTTACCGCGGGCACGGAGCGCGCCGCGGCCTCGGCGCCGTAAATCACGGGGTTAGCGAGGCGCAGAGGGAACGGAGACTCTGTCAACCCCGCGACACGAGGGCTGGAGGGCAGTTTTCCATCCCAGAGAGCCGGCAGTTTCCATCCCAGGCTCTGCAAAGTCCTCCCGAGCTGGTAAAGTCAGTCCTAAGCAGCCTGCGAAAAGTCCAGCATGCTCTACACCTTGCGGTAATTAAGCAAATTGGGCTGAGCAGCATAAACAGGCCTGGCCTGCCTAAAAAAAAAGAGCTGATAAAACGAAGCTGTGAGCCAGTTTCAGGAAAAGAACTGTCTCCCTGGCACCTCGGCATGAAAAAGGAGCGTAAAAATTGCTCTATTTTGCAAAGAATCGGTGCTTCGTCGAGAGTAAGGTATTAGGGATGTTTACAAACAATCAAATCAAATAAGTACAAAACAAAAGGTGGAAGATGTTGCACGAGAACAATTTTCAATCTGTCTGGTAAAATTAAACCATGGAAATGCTGTTCCAGAATAGATGTTTCTAATGTATTCTGAGCTTAAAAAGGTCTAATTAGAGTCAGTGAAGGCAGAACACAAAGTAATGGAAAAGTACAATTCTGATTTCCCTTATTTTGGAGGCAAATCTTACGACGTTACGAAGCGGTTGCTGCAAAAACCTCATGAACGTTATTTTCTTGGAAAATAAGGACATCTTTTAAGAGAAAACCTACTAATAACAGAAGAGCAAGAAGTAAGTTTCAGTTTTACACGGAAAATTATACACTAGACAACTTCAAATCCCAACTACTCCAACTGTAAATTCGAAGGTCCGTACGGGAACACGGCACAGCATGAGGTGAAGGCTCAGAACGTAAAACGTAGGATTTGAGATGGAGGGTTAACCTGACCTCACTTGATATTTGAGATGGGTAAACAGGAGATAAAAGGAAGGTATGAAAACGTCAAGGAATAGTCGCACGGCCATCAGCAGCCAGGGAAGTGCAAGAAATTGTCCCCGTCCCATCCACTTACTTCCAAGTCCAGTTTGCAAAAGAAATAGAAAATCCGACCGGTGAGGTACACTTGAATTTCTTATAAAACTGTACGCTCTGAAAACATCTTTTCAAAAACCAGGATGGCATTCAGATGAGGTACTAGATGGATGTACAGGCTTCAGGAAGGACACTTTACTGGAACGCTTGGGTGCAGAAGGGTTGCTCGGTCACACACAGCTCTTCAGAACCTCTGCCCGAGCGTTTTCAGAAACAAAGTGAATCAAACCAGTAATGCAGAAAGCAACTGGAGACCCACAGCAAATCAAAAAACCCCAAACAACAGATGTTAAGGGAAGAAAATTACCATTCCCTGCCTTTCATTCACCTGGTCTTCCTCACAGTGAAAGAGAAACAACAATACGACAAAGAGTTAATGGAAGACAAATGATTGAAGGACTCCAGCTACAGAGAACGAAGGAAAGTATTTCTCCCTGATTTTCTAGGCTCTGCCTACGCAGGTAAATGTTAACTAGAAATAAAACCAGCCCTACTCAACTGCATTATTTAATCAGTAACACGAAGGTCTAAAGCAAAGTACTCACATTACAGCTGACTCGGGAAATATTGTGCCAGCATGTCCAACACTACAAAAAACCCTTTTAACTCATTTCTACTGGATCTCTTTTTACTTTGCACACTGGGACGGAACGACACTGACGTTAGTCGAATGGGGCCATACCTCAAAAAGAGCATTCCCTGCCAGAGTTTGATCCGCAAAGAACGCTGAAACAAATTCCCATCAGGTATTTGGAAAGACCGAGTGACAGCACACCAGGCTCATCGACGGGAGCCCCAGGCTTACGCGAAGCTCTCCCTCCCACCCCTAGACAAGAAGCTGACAGATATGCAGCTCAACCACAGCTTTTCTCACCCATCAGGTGGAACAGGCAAGCTGTGGTTGGCCTCAAAGTCACCTTGACTGGGAAGAAGTCGGCCGCAACACAAGGTTCCTCCAGGACAGACGGAGACATTTACATTGGCAGTAAAGGAGGTAATGGATAAGGAGCTGTTAATTCTTAACACTTGTGGGCACAAAGTCCAGCTGTAGGCAAGACATCTATTTCCCAGCGGTACAGCACCAGATAATTGAAGACCTGAAGTGAAGGAGAACGTTGTACCCTTCCTTGGAATCTGAGCAGATTGACATTTGCGAAGAACAGGGAGCGATCAGTCCTGAGGATTTACACACATCACGAGAGATGACGGGAATTTGTCTGTCACACCTCAGCACTCGGCACCGAGGCTAGAGAAGCAATTATTAGAAAGATCAGCAAATCAGACTTTAAGAGGCAGGCACCTGCCAAAAAGCTGAAACAAGACCAGGGAAAACCCCAAGAGGGCAAGCGGAGAATTCTGCTGCGCATTTATGGCAACCCACGTGCCACCAGCTGCTCCCCGGAGCCTGGGACACGCTACACAGATCCCACAGACACCTGACACAGACAAAGACACGAATTTATCTCTGTGTATTGACTCTGTGTTCAGGTAATAAAGGTGTTTGGGTAAGTATTGTCTTCTGGTAAGAGGCTGCTTGTCAGCAGTGGTTACAACTTCATCCAACCTAGTTAGGGTGACACGTACACCCTTCCGGCTCCTTCCCATCGGCTTCTCCCAGGCAGTTCTGAGAGACGTCAAACCCTGCCCGCCAGGTTCTCCAAAAGCTCTGAGCAGGACAGCTAGATTATTCACTTGGGTATTTACCAAACTAATTTCCACTTGAACTTCTTAGCATCTGTTCATCCTGGCTACAAGTCTGCACAGACACAAGCATATTTACCCACTATTCATCTCCTCCGCAACTCTGCAGACATCACCTTTTTTTCTTTTTTTGCTAAAGCTTGTTCTACAGTTACAGTAGAACCAGTGCCTAAGAAGCTGATCTTTAAACTTCTGGTTCTTACGTATTTTTTCCAGCCTAGGCAGGTTCTGCTGTGGTTAGCAGAACATCCCATCCATCTGGCAGGCAATTAGCACGGCCCCGTCTACGCTTCTCCGAGGTGAGCCATTACCTTCCCGTGCGAGCTCTCTCTTACGCTGTGACATATATTGCCCTCGGTAGCGCAGAATCCGAATTCCATCCCCAGGATAACGTCCAGGAGAACATTACAACGGGCTAATTTTGAACCTTACCTTGTCACCAGTCTCACGAGTACTGGTAGGACAAGACAGCCGTAGCGCTAACCTGAGCAAAGGAGAAGAATCACCTCCCAGCCAACTGGTTTCACTGCAGTAAGAGCACGTCCCTGGAGAGCGCCTGCCCAGTCAAGAGCATCCAAGAACTTTATAAAAGAGTGTATCACAAGAATAATAATTACAAAAAATCCAAACACACCTGCTCGGAAGGGGGCGAGGATAATGTGATTGTGCCCGAGGGCACAGAAATCAATATAGCTGCTTTTTTAAATATAGTAAACCCGCAGCAGTTAGCCAAAAAGCACACACTCCATCCAGGCTGCGAGCCTCCACGAGTCTCCCTCCACTTTTGGTGCAGGCAGCCCGAGTGTACACAGTCAGCTGCTATTTCATTAAGTCCCTGTTTAACTTAGAATGAGATTTAAACAACCCTTTTGCCCTTACAGTGCGACAGCACTCATACCTCATCTAGAGCCTCCTGGTAAGGTACCAAAGGGTTAATTAACACGTATGCAGCGCATGGTTCAGGCAATATTAAATGGAAATCTCTGAACAGACAAGTGTCACTGAGTGCAATGGAAATAAATTGGGCGTCTCCTTCCACACTTCAACTTTCTCTCCCTAGATTTGCTCAGAGCTCTCCGTGCTGCTTGTTCAGTAATTTCACGCTACGCTGCTTAACAATGTAAGCATGGAGGCTCAATCTAAAACTGCACTTCCCAAATGTCACTTGTTTGTGAACACATGGCTGAACCCAAAATTGCTTTTAATATTAGAGCGGTGCCTGCTGGCACTGCTGTAGTTAAGGGTCTGTCAGAATTTCCAGGATAAACCCCATTTTCTGGGGTGTAATACCATGACCATTTGCTACAGATAAACCTGGTACACAAGGTCACGGCAGACAAACGGGATTTTTTAAATTTTCAAACCAAGCTTGCTTGGCTATTCTTGAGTTTAAGACACTTAACACTGATCAGAGGTCTCTTGCAGTTCAAGGTTTTCCTCACCATCCCTTTAACTTCCGAACAAATTCAAACGTACGACTCCCACTGCAGCCTCCCAACCCGGTTCCGGAGCCAAAATTACTGCTCTGGTCTGCAGCCTTGATGGGATACGACTCAGTTTTGCTGATTCACACTTAAAACCCACAAGAATGCAGTACGCGTACCGTCGTGAAACCTGCCACTTTCAGAACTGTCCAAACTAACAAAACGTAGAGAAGTTTGCCCTAATGAGAAACAGCCACACAAAGTCATTTTGTCGAGACGCTCCACTTCAAACTTAACTGAGTGCATAGATTAGAGGAATTCAGATATTTTTCAGAGGGTTATTACCATAGTCTTACAAAAGCTTAAAAGCATTTCCAGCTTATTCCTTCCCCTTCGCTGTGTGCCTAATGAATTGTATCCGGTTACATCAGTCGCCTTACTCACTCTGAAATGCAGTTTAGGTGCATCAGAAAACTAATCCTAACTTACCAGTCTGAAAACAACCCCTTCACAAGGCGTGGAAGATGTGGCGTTTGAGAAAGTCATTGCTATGTCCTCGAAAAGACACAAAAGACAACAGGCATGACACAGCAACATGGCACAACGGAGAACCCTCATCACAACAACGGCACTCTCTGATTTGTCCTTAGCAATCTCCTGCTCCGGTTCCTTTGTACTTCGCGGCTTTAAGCAACTCTTCATCCCAACAGACACCCACCTGGGTTGCCATTTTTCCGTAGTCGATCCATCGCAAAGTGGCAAAGTTGGTGGACTCGGCGCAGTTGAAGCCGTGATTGAAGCCAGCGTGGTAACCGTAAGGAAACGTGATCATGAACTCTCCGGCTTCCTGCGTGATCTGGAAAAAAAAGAAGGGAGAGAGACCCCACAGATCAGTTGATGTAGCAGCTTGAGAGATCTATTAAAAAACCAAATTCACTGGTTAAATTCTCTTTCAACTGGAGTTGGCAGAATGGTGGTTACCAACTCTTGGCTCAATCTAGAACAATTTCTGGTTAAATGCAGAAATACTGAAGTGCTTCCATTAAGGAAAAAAGAGAGCACAAAAGACGAAAAGGGTCTCGAGATCTGAACTATTGAGACTCACAAGCTCCAATTACAAAAAGGTTCTCAGGCTGCAGCATGCCAATGACCAATAAATCTTTAGATCATGATCACTTTAGCTCACGGCAAGTCCAAATTTACATTCCCAGCACCGTGCCAGTGGAGCCACGAAAACTGGATTCCCCTCCCGTCATGCGCTCTGCACTGAAGCACACGCTGCCTTTCGTTGCACTTCTGTCCCCACTCTCATTTATCAGTCTTACTCCCTTTTGTTCACCCATAACTCAAACAAGCTAAAAATCACAGCTCACCCTTTGTCTACTAAAGCAAAACTAAGTTAACAATAAGCATTCCGGGCATTATTAATATAAGGGGTTATAAACTCCGTAGATTATAGTTGTAATCAGAGGCAAATCAATTTGTGAAGCTTCTAGAAAATCCTCTTTCTACACCTTATGCAGAGAAGACATTGTAGAAAGGATTAACTGAATTGCTGGAGTACGGCACGGACTGCAAGAGCAACCGGCAGCGCCGCGCTTGGAGCAATCCTTCCAGCCCCACGCCCCGGCTTGGCGAGGATGTGACAGCACCTCCCTCCCGCGTGGAGGGCAAGAGGCAAAACTCGCCTTTCCCATCTTTCCAAGGCAGAAGTGCCGACAGACCTTTCCCAGCAGTCACAGGCCAAGCAACTCCACCTGGATTCCTTCCCCCGGCAGTAACTCGGAGCACAGCAGCTCCAAACCCACAGAGATGTCAAAGAACTCGACGCTTGAGAACGCAAGGATGGGTCCAAGGAGAAAACGTAACCAGGCAGAAGTTAAAACATTTATCCACTGGCCTGGACTAACACCTAAATTTGCTCATGTTATTAACATTAGCAGAGTAATTTAAAAAAAAAAAGAAAAAAAGAGTGTAAAACCAGATAGGATAGTACCAGAAGCTCCTGCAGAAGTTCTGGTGCTGAAGCTGGGTCGGTACCCAGCTCCACCGAGATCCTCCCATCCAGCCCCCTCCATAAACGGGAGCAGAGCGGTAGATCTCTAACTTCAGACGACGGAAAGATTATGTTTCTGTCAGGAAACCTACATCCTGGTGTCTTCATTTCAAGCCCACAGCTTATGTCCTCCATGTCACTGCTGTCAACATTATCCCCACAATAAATTAGCAAGCACTCCACATGATGGATAGGCCATGCAGAAAAGTAATAACTATGGAAGGGAAGCCAGCACAAACTGCCACTCATGGAGAAAGCCCCAAATTTACTGACTTCTGCAAAGCTCTTGAGGAATAAATGGAGAAATCAATAGGAGATTACAGAAATACACATTTTTAATTATTAAAAAGCCCTAGTATTGATCTGTTTCTTTTTTTTTCCAGAAGTAAATACCATTATAGAGATTTAGAGTGAATAGTGCCCGTTCACTTCGTTGAAATCTGCCAGGAATGCAGATGAAGGGATCCTATCTCTGCTTCTAAAGAAAAATGGCACATGTTCCCTGTTTCTGAATAACAGTGATCCTCCTTCAAAAGCTACTATTTCAGGACACGAGGTATTCAGATACAGGCTGCTCAGACTAAAGAGATCTCCTCCTCCTTTTTACATTTAAAAACATCCTCCCGGTGAGTGCCGTAGAGAAGAAAGTAGCTAATCACAAAAACAACTACACTTCCCCTCCACATTCTGTAAATCAGGATTAGGAATTATATTTAAGGAACATGTTATCAACCACTCTTGCTTTAATAATCAATGGTATTTCTGACATTAATATTGTTCTCTATGTGTAACATTGGTCTTTTTTTTTCCCCCCTTTTTTGATAAAAAAAAAAAATCAAATTCCTAGCATTAAGATTTCTACATATATTCAGCATGAAGGAGACACCAGACATCAATCTGCAAAAAACCCCTTCATGTCACAAATCAAAAGATTCCTAGCAGGAAGCCTAGCTAAGCAGAGGTAAAGACTTCTTACCAAGCAATAAATCAGAAACTCCCTTATTTAAACCACTTTGTATCTCATCCCTACCACCCCAGAGCTCAGCAAGGATGACTGGGGATAAGCCTGGAAGGAAAGTTTGCCTCTATCGCCTTTTTACAAACTCCTTTACTCCTCTCGCTCAGTTATTGATCAGAAATCACTTAGTACACAATTACTAATCAATGCCACTTTCCTCAGACAGATGGAAAAGCAAACATAGAGCAATTTATTATTGCGGAGAAAAATATGCCCAGCTACAACATTCAAGTATTTCAAATCCTTCCTGCAAGAATTTCCTTTGCTTTCCAACCTCTGGCAGACCCCAGAGCGCTGCCCCAACGCGCTGCCCAAGTGAAACAGCAGAATTAATTCCCTTTTCCTGCACATCGCTGGAGGATCGTGCGGCAAACCTCACTTAGAAGGGCTTGTGTGCACCAACAGGTACTTTTCAAATTATTTTCAGCTTCTTTAGAGAGGCAGCACAAGTTGTTTAGGCTCTGTTCAGCCAATTACTGCAGCACTCACGGCTTCTGGTTAAAGCAACCTCCTGAGGAAAACAAGCAAGAAGCAGCAAGACAGACTGAAGCAGAAGGAAGCAGAAGAAAAATCTTTCAAGTTTAGGCCAATAAATAAAGAAAGTCAGATAGGTTTTTCAGCAACTTGCACTGGCTACAAGTTTCTGTGCTCTTTTCTGAATACGGTCGGGATAGAGGATGTCTTTTATCTTCTATCAAAAGTTACTTTTCAGAGGGCCACCTGCGCACTAATCTGAGATGCCTCCATACTGCAATCTGCATATTCGCTTTCCTGAAACCTGTAAAGTGCAAAACCTCACCAAAAAAAAAAACCTCAGCCCCCACAAATGTGTATTTTCATCATTATTTTCAACCACATGTAGCAGGTAACCCGTGTTTCCACAGCCGGGAATTAGGCTCCGCAGACAAAATTACAAGGAAAACGGTTTGTTGCTCTCTATGACCAATTTACTACCAACCATCCTGCGCAAACGAGGCCGAGCCTGGCCGCTGATGTCGAACCACGAGCACCACATTGCTTGGTGCGAGTCTCCCCTGCGCTGACGGCAAGCTCATCTGACAAGCCAGATGATTACACTTCAAATTTCATTCATCATAGCCTTCCACTAGGAAAAATGAAACAGTCTCTGGAGCAGTAAATTGAATGAATTCATGGGGTTTTATGCTATGAAAGAACCAAGATCTTTTACTTCCATCTCAAAGAATCACCAGGCTCATCAAATAGCTGCCACGCTTTGTCTCAGGTGCACTAACTCTAACAAAAGTGCACATAGAAAAAGGAGAACGATCAGAACCAGGGAGTTTCAACTTAGGAAAAGGTGGCTCTAAAACCTCCAGGTGACAACGCAAAGGGGAGGGGGAAGGATGAAACCACTTTGAACCAGGCAGTTTTTGCCACTTCCCACTGGAGTTAAGAGTCCCAGTACCTATAACTTGATTCTTTTCCCCCCACCCAAAGAGGTTCTGGCTCCGTGTGCCAGCAACACACAGCAGCAGGAAGGGCTGGACTGATTCTGCACAGATACTAAATCTGCAGTGAGCACGCTTGGCTCAGGAGATTTACTTCTTGCCAGCAGACTTTCAGAATAAGCACATTAAAACGATCAGACCAAATAAACATGACCCCTTCATTTCAAATAAGAGGACTTAAGAGATTGGCGGATCCTTACCGGCTCAGCGTAGAACGAACGCTTACACAACAGAGAACCAGCACGTCTGACGCCAGTTCTTGGTTCATGTCACATCCAGGAGAAAAAAAAAAGGTCTGTGTTTAAGAATTCCCACCGAGTTACGCTGCCTACTGATGAGCCACAGCATCAGCACTGCAGTTTGCCCCTCTCTGCCTGGAGAGGCTCCCTAATTGACAAAGTTAGTTCTAGTGAAAGCTTTTACGGAGAGAAGCACTTCACAGAAAGTGTCTTGGCCAAACCACAAATCCTCATTTACAGGCAGCCACCTGGTTTAAAGCGATAGGGTACATTCAGCATAATAATGCATTTAGAAATTCAGCAAATTGCTCCCCAGCAGCGTGTGATGAATTGTTTTCTAAGAAGAGGGGTGTTGTGCACCTCGAACGTATCCTTTGTACGTACCCGGTCAAAAGGAATATTCTTCAAGATCGAGGGTGAAATGAGGGTCATCTTATGGCGGAGAAAAGCGTCGCATCCCTGAGAGCTTCCTGGGAAAAATCCTGTAGAGACATTAAAAAGAAGAGTATCACTATAGGAATGTTCTAGCCAATCAGTTAGTTCAGCAGAGACAAGCTGACAAAAAAAAATGAAAACCTGCCTAAATGCTTTTTATATAGATCAAAACAACAGGCACACAACTGAAGTTGTTGGTAATTAGCACATCGCTCGTTGTTTAAAATGTCACGTAAATTTTGAGACAAAAACCTGCATGTTGAGGCATGGAAGTCGAGAGAATTAGCATCTAAGTCTCTTGTGCCTAGAAATAAGTATCTTGGTCAAAATGCCAGTGAAGGCCTAGAAAGTTAAAAACTTATGGCTAGTACACCTGACCTCAAGGCAATCTTTTTCTGAATTGACATCTACAGGTGTTAATTAACATCTAGAGATGTTAATATTGAGTCAGAAGGAAGGAAGGGAACACAGCTGATCCATCGGAAGGCAGGGGAGGGAGGGACTCTCGTTCACCAGCCTCAGTGGTCGCCATCCCGTCGGGCAGAGAGAGCACGATCGCGCTGCTCAGTGTTAAATTCTACCAGAGCCGAGCTATTAAAACAAATCACGAATAACTGAAAATACTAAAATTGCGGTAAAAACTGAACAAACCGCAGAAATGGCAGCTCAAGTGATGCAACACCAGTTTCTTCGAGACCATGAGTTTCACTCCGAGCGGCTGATTCAATAACAAATTACGTGTTTATAGGGATTAAAAACCATCACCGTTTACGAAAATAAATAACCCAAGCTCTGGAAACAAAACTAATTGATGAGACATAATGGAAGGGGTTTCAGAAAGCCAAAAGGATTACTGGATTCCAGGTTTCCTTATATTTTTGCACTAAAAGCATTTCAATTAAAATTATGACTGTCTGCTACCCAGTCTGTCATCCCTCTCTGCAGTTCCTCTTTTTTAATGCACACTCTAAGTGGCTCTCATTAAAGCTACTAATAAAGAAGCACATTTTAAGTGATTAGCACCAATAACATGGCAACACATTAGCATTCTCTCCATGGGCTCCATAGCTCTCCCAGTGAGCCCATTTGCAGCTCAGCTATTCATTTTCCATATTAATTGCAAGCTCGTTTCTCCCTGGAAAACGTCTTCGTGGCACAGGGCAGGGAGAATGCCCAAGCGGTGCTAACGGCTCGTCAGAGTTTCGAAACATCGCCCATCCCAACTTCCAAAAGGTCCCAAGAACCAAAAAAAAAATCATAAAAAATATAAAAAAAGATGACATCATTGAAATTTGTTCCTGGTTTATGCATCGCTGCGTCGCAAAAACGGCTCATGAGGAAGTTACAAACAGCAAGAGACTTTGCGTTCACTTAGGTCAGACTTTGGGGCAGTATTTCAGATTCTACAGAACTCGGGTCAGTCTGGATTCACTGACTTTTTAACAGATGAAAAACTTCTCCAAACCCCAGCAAACGACTAACTTGAACTGTACCTTTGAAATGCACTATTTCTGAGCAGCACTTTTTGCCTCCGTTTGTATTTAGATCTGGATTGTGGCTCTCGGTGCACCCCATGACATTTATACCCCATTTATTCTACATTTATCCTACATAACCAGTTGCTCCTTATTTTATTCCGGATGAAACAGTCGACAGAACGTCAGACTGCCAGCAAGAAATGTCATTCCTACGAATCTGCCTCTTTTCTGGAAAAACAGAATCAGAACTTCTTTTCTTTTGCATCAGAAGAGAGTCTTCCAGATTTTTCCTGCCTGCTTCTGCTGCGCTGACTCCAACAACAGATTTAAATCATTAAAGCATGCCTCACCGAAGATGAAACACGTAGATTTGGAGTTAATTATTCTGGGATGGGAGCTTTTTTTAGCTGGGCAGAGCCTAGAACATTTGCAAGTGAACAAAAATAGCAACAAAAAAACCACATATACAACGAAGACAACAAATTAAAATATATATAGTTCTGCAGGCAGACACCTTCCCTGAAGCTTCCACCGTTACCAATTGGAAATCAGTCGTTTTGGGGGGTTTTGTGGTATTTGAGGTGTTTTTATTATTAAGATGGCCTTTATTGTACTGAAAAGGTAAAAGTGGATGAGGCTGGAATAAAAGGAAAGGCACCAAGTGCAGTGTCTGTCATTAGAGAGCGAGGCAAGAACTTGCTGCTGCTGAATTTTTAAGCACTTTCCTACTTTAAACTGGAAGTAATCAACGCTAGCGCTGCGTAGTTATATTGCAGGAAGAAAGAAGAGTTTCTACCACCTTTTTTTTCTGCAGAAAGTGTGTCTGGGGGTATGAGGAAGACCCCTCGGGGCCACACCACACAGTTCTCACCTCCCTGTGACAAAACTTGCTGCGTAGTTATATTGCAGGAAGAAAGAATAGTTTTTACCACCCTTTTTTTCCTGCAGAAAGTGTGTCTGGGGGTATCAGGAAGACCCCTTGGGGCCACTCCACACAGTTCTCACCTCCCTGTGACAAAACTCATATTACACCCGGAGATGCCCAACAGGTCTCTTAGTAATTTCCCAGAGACGGAAGCATCTGGTTTCAACGCTTCAAAATTCAACGTGGTTTTGGTTTTGGGGGTTTTTTCCATCAATTTTCGTTAGGGTCATGATATATCGTAAGAGCGAGGCTTTGAGGAAATCGTTGCACCAGTGGGAAAACTCACTGACAGGTTTTCCGACTCCTACGTCAATGCAGCAGGTTCATCACGCAGCCCTCGCAAGAGTAAATGCTAACGGCCAGTTCGATGTCAGTTCTTTAAAATCAAGGGCAGGATTCTCCCCAGGATGCTTCAGTTTTTGCAGGAGAGCACACTCACGTGTTTGTGCAAACCCAGGAGGGAGCAGAGCTTACCTTTCGCCAGGCGTTCCAACCTCTTGCCGTGTTCCGGGGGTATGGCATACCTGGGGGAAAGAAAATAGAGTGAAAAAAATCACTTTATAACGTAAAAAGTGTGAAAAAAGACGGCTAGAAACAAGCCTGGTAAGAACCTTTCGCACAGCACACTTACAAACTAAAGTCCGGAAACAGAACCAAAATTTTCTATGTCTGGAAAGTATCAGTAACACGTAACACACAGAAGAATTTTAATGGAAGGCCTTAGAGCTGTTATATGATGTGTGTTATTTTCCTGCATTTTTTGGAAACAGCATCATAGGATTTCACAAGGTAGAAGGAAAACCAAGATGACAAAGTGATGATACAGCACTGGAAAAAAACAGAAATAAATCAGAGTAGGGAATGGCAGGCCTGTTTTCTGCAGGAGAGGGATCTGCAAAACAAAACCATGAGGCTGCGATAAAGATTAACAGGCAAGAAATTCTGGATGGGCTGAGAAGGTGTTGCAAGTTGGGAAGGAAAGAAAATAAAGTTTCAAATGGTTGTTTCTTCTTCCCCAAAGTTGTTCGTTACCTTAGTGCTTTGAAGTTGTACTACCTCAATGCTCACAGGAGCAAAAATCAGACAACTAAGACTTTACACGTTCAGGTTATAAGGTGAGAAATAAATACCAGGATACACTTAAACATGATGACACATGTAACAACATCGGTGGAATTTTGTAAGCTCTTGTTTGCTGACTGCACCAAATTAAACGTGGCTCTCATCCCACGTTTTGTAATGGAGGACTGTGAAAATTTACATTTGCAGGAATGACATTTATTGCCAGCTAGAGCTTTTGTTCCATGGGAATAATCCAAAATGCATTATTTTTGTTATTTCCAATAAAGATGTCAAAAGCCCTGAGGAAAACGGGATATTGCAGCGGGCAATCACGCGATCTCAACAACGGGGAAACAGGATTGATCTGCTTACGATAGGATCTCTCAAAATACACCCGATTTTAGAGGACTTTCAGCCAGTCCCCTCGCTCAGGTTCTCAAGTTTCACGTTTCTCTCCAACGTAAGGAGGAATGGAGAGTGCTGCCTTTGGACAAAATCAAAATTTACCCATTGCTGGTAGGTTGGAAAGGATAATAAAGGACAAAAATCACACACAGGATGTAGATATTCAGCTGATTTAAACCGATTGCTTAGGAAAAAAATAAAAACTAATAAAAAAAGATGGTCAAACACCACGTAGCACCTCATCTTGCAAAATAATAAAAATAGCAATGGACTCCCAACATCCTCAGACCAAAGTTTGACGGTGCCTTGAATTGCGTAATTATCAAACAATTCAATTTCTTGTCTGGGACAAAGCTAGTAGCTTTCCTTTTACAAAGACCATTCATCACTTACATAAATGTGATAAAACTAATCCCGATCCAAAGCTCCTTTGTGGGATTAATGTCCCTTAAAACAGGGAAATGAGACATTCCATTCCTTCTGGGAAAAACGCTGAAGGATTGGGAAAGAACTAATTTATGGCTACAAGGCTGCCGATGATTAATGTAATATCCCCAGTCTACAATGCAACCTTCACTTAATTAGTGCCTGTAATTGGGAGTTGTAAAGATAAGATTAATTGAATCTTGAGGATGTTAAAAGTTTAATACGTTGGAACATGGTTATTGTGTTATCTGAAACTGCAGACTGCAAAAAGCCAAGCTGGGCTTTAGAGAACGGTCCACGGAGAGACAAAGAGAAAGGACTTGCTTGGATAGAAACCAGCAAGACAGGAAGAATTTCCAGCTTATAAAAAAGAACTAGATGTAATAATATCCCAATCAGAACGCCCTCCCACGGAACAGCCTCTCGGTAATTGCCGACTCCCATCTCAGAAATTAACTTTTTTGTTTGGGCCAGTCTTTTTGGAAGCAGAGCTTCTACATCCTTGCCCATCGACGCTCAGCAATTCAAAACAAAATGAACCGCAGAAGAGAATTAAAAGTAGGTCAAATCCTGCTCTAAGTTGCACTCGCAAATCTGACTGATTTACATGACGATAGGCAATGAAGAAAGAATTTGGGCTGCTCTTCTGAAGCAGTAAGGGAAACAGAAGGCTTCTGCAAGTATCGCACAGATTGAGCGAGCGAGCTCGGTCTAGACATGAAATGATTGATTACAAGGTAGAATAACAACGGAGGCGACTCGGAAAGATTAGAAATTGCTGCAATCAAGGGAGCACTGTTATTGAGCACAGGAACATCCACGAAGGGCTGGCTTTTGGGTACGACCTTACGGCACCAGCCTCTGGCTTTCACTATGAAAAACTGCCAGGCCCCGCTCGGGGCCCAAAGCCCTTGACAGAGGGACCTGACGAAACGTCGTCATTTGGGACGATTTGTTACCACCCTTCTCGCACCCACAGGCTGGGGCGCAGCTCGACGGTAAAACATCTTCAATTCCAGAGCCAGCTGACAAGATTACACATGGGGAAGCACATCCAGTAATCAGCTTTTCTATATGCACAATTCTGAATACTTCAAGACTTTTTTTCCCCACCAAGTCACACAGTGGCTTTCCTCTAGATCTCCCAGGCAAATACCAAACACTTCCCTTCTCTGTAACAACTCGAAACAAGCAAAAGACCACTTTTATGCCATTTGGACAAAAAAACCAGACCACAGCATCCACAAGCCGAGCACGAGAACTGCCCAATGCTTCTTGACCCGTTGCCAGAAGCGTTTCTGTGACGTCCTCCTGCCCGGGGCAAACCGAACCCAGCGCAGAGCAGGACTAACTTCGATCCAGCCTTGAGCAGACATCTCCTTTTAAAATTTTCCATTGCCCCAAACAACCTAAACTAAAGAGAAGTGATAGCATAAATATTTTAACAACCCTTCTTAAAATCCATCTTTTTATAGACTACTTGTGCTTCAGAGAAAACACCTGCAGCAGCCGATGGAAAGGACAACGGTGCCGGAAACGTTGACCTTGAGCCACTGCTTCGAGTGAAGAATCTCTCCTCTCTGGTTCAACCTGTAAAAGCCACATACATTGTGCTAAGCCAGCGGCTGGTTTAAGATATATCAAACTTCTAAGCAAGTGGGCTTGCAAACAAACCAAGAGACTGATGCCTTCCAAGGGTTGGCCTTGCAGCCGCTGACCAAGACGAAGGGCCAAGCTCACCCTGAAAACCTGCCCCTCAGCACTCTGTCGGATTGCAGCATGAATAACGGCTCGCTGCTTCGCCAGGGAACACAAGATTTACAGAATGGGGGGAAAAAAATAAAAATCTCAAGACAAAAAAAAAAGTTATAGCTGTATGACTCGCATGTCATCTTACCCCGAAGTCAACAATCTGAAAGTAATATACGGATCCTTCTAAATTACCTTCTTCTACTCTTTCTACCAAATCAAGAGGAGGTCTCTCAAATGGATTAAGCAGCATTTCTACAAATACAGAACTCACTGTTCTACCTGAAAGATTTTCAGCTTCCAAACTCGTTTCACGGAACCTAATTCCAACATTTCTGATCCCCACATCCGTGTCATTTCCTAAGTTCTTGAGTATCCTGCAAAACTGATTCCGACCTCAATCACCAGACGTCTGGATCGCAGGTCCAGGGGGCATTGGCCACAAAGCCACAGACGTGTTAGACAATCATTTCCCTACGGTGGTAGTTTGCTTTTGTTAACCTAAGTTTAACTGGACATTCCCCTTTTTCACCCTTAACACACACACACACACACACACACACCCCCAATAAAAAAGATCCTTCCTACTTGCCATAAAGGATGTCATTAATAGTGTAATTTTCTTGGTGTTTTGTTTATTCCCCTGGAATGGCTTGATGGATGCGGATAATTATCAGACTATAAAAGCCAGCAAATGTGCTATTTTCTATCGCTCTAAATCATCAAACAAATAAAGTGTGAAACAGCATTTTTGAATACAATTTTCCCCTCTAATGGCTTAGAATTATTACCAGGAACAATGAAAATAAATAAGCAAATGTCTGGTGAGTTAAGAATTAAACGACTATGTCAGTAAAACAGAGCAGACAGACCATCCTGGGACACAAGGACCGGTTTAGAAGCCATTAAGGGATGACATAACAACGGCAGCGACAGCTTCCAGCATCGGGCGCTCTCCAGGGACTTGCCAGTCGAGCTCGGATTCTGTCCTCACCGCTGCTTCTTCAAAGGGGCTGCAATGCAATTTTGTCCTCTTCTTGGCCGCTTTAGCCCTGACAAAGGCAACCCTCAGCCTCCTCGTGCCCTCTCTGCTGGTTTATCTCTGCTGAAGAGGAATTGCTCGCACCCGAAGCTCTCACCGGCTTTGGGAGAGGACAAAACCATCCTGTCCTTTGGTTCAACCCCACCCCAAAGCTTCCAAGACCTTTTCTTGGCACAGTCATCACACACACACACGTGGAGCTTTTGATCGTCACACCACCTCGCCCTCCCACCTCGTCACGTGTCACCTTCTCCTCGCTCCACCACCGAGTAATTAAGGAGTGATTAGATGACTAAAGCTCACGCACCCACCCTCTGGTAGAGACCGGGCACCATGGGCTCGAAGTTCAACCACAAGGCTCCGGAAATGTCACTTCAGCCGGATTCATGCGAGAAGGTAAGAAAGTTAATTTCACAGTGTCTGCACAAGGTCTGGCCAAACAGGCCCCACGCAGTTTAACATGCTATAATTACCGAAATAAGGAAGAGAAACAAAACGAGAGCAGCGCGTTTAAAATGCCTCGGCCGGTGTGTCAAGCTGGGGGTTAGCTATCTGTCTTCGAAGCAGATTTAGTTGTGCCAAGAATATTGACCCTTTGAAGATTCAAATGCCAACCCACCCTCAGTGGTGACAGGCAGAATAAAAAGCCATTATTTCACTCTCTGCAAGACAAAGCGTGTCCATAAATGCATCATCTGAACCTTGACCTTCAACATCTTTAGCCCCCACGACAGCAGTAACGTCTCCAAAGAAAACCCCTTACTCTATCAAGAATATTTATCACCCAGCAGAAGCCATTAAGAACCAGCCCTACGCACAGGGTAGTCCCTCATTTGCAAA